TCCAACGGGTTTAAAATAAAAGCCTGTTCTTTCGATTTAATCTCCTCCTCTAACTCTTTTCGTTTTTGTGCTTGCTTTCTCTTATGAACACTATTCATAGAAATCAAAATACCTCTCATATAGGCTTTGCTAGCATCCCAGACTATTGAAATCGGAGTACCTTTATGCATATTTAACAAAAAAAATTCTTTCAATTGATTCTTACACTTCTGCACATTTATATCATATCTAAATAAATTTTCATTCAATCTCCAAGTTCTTCTCTTTCCTTCTTCACCAAATAATTCCATCCACACCGGACTATGATCAGACAATGTCCTAGGAAAGATCTTAACATTCTTCACCCTGGAAAGAAAGTCATTAGTTATCAAAAAAAAGTCAATTCTCGAGTAGGATTGGTGCCTATCCGAAAAAAAGGTGTAGTCTTTCTCATCCATATTCCGTTCCCTCCATATGTCCTCTAGTTCCAGTTCCTCCTTCAAATCAAAAAAAGTTTTGGGCAATGTTGAATTAAAAGCTTTACAGGAACCTTTCTTGTCTTTTCTTGGATCTAAGACACCGTTCCAGTCTCCCATCATAATAACTGATTTATAATCCATTTGATTTAGTTTCTGATGTATCAATTTATAAAACTGTTTCTGCTGTTGATTTGGAGCATATAATCCAATGATAAGACATTTCTTCCCATTCAAAAGCATTTCAATAAAAACATATCTTCCTTCTGGGTCAGAATCAATCAATTTAGGCAAAAACTCCTTCTTAACATAAATAACTACTCCACCTTTTTTCTGAGGCGCAGGTGCAATAAAATGTATTCCCAACCGTGAATTAATCAAATACTTTTGATCTTTCACTGTAATTTGAGTCTCTTGCAAGCAAACAACATCATTTTTATGTTGCTTCAAATAATAAAATACCTTTTTTCTTTTCTGCGGTGAATTCAAGCCATTAACATTCCATGTCAGGAACCTTGCCATCTTTAGTGGCAGAGAGCCTCAGGAACGCCCCTTGCAAATCAGCCGTCACTGATTTCTTCGGTCTCGCTCCTCCCACTGGCTCTGAAGTTACTTGCTGCGCTATGGGTACCGCATCCACTCTTCGTTGCTCTCTTTCTTTACGTCTGTGAGCTGCACGGGTCAATCTCTGTGATTTTGGATCATCTTTAATTTCCAAAAGTTGTAACTCAGCTTGAACTTGATCTTGTAAATTAGTAACGCTTGATGATGATGTAGCTCCTTGAGTGTCTTTATCTTCTGGAATTCTTTCCTTCCTAATACCTTGTGGAGACACTGATGGACCTGCTTTCAAAATTGAGCTATAAAAATCTTTTGCTTTTGCCACCGTATTAAGCCGATAACGTACGCCCATATAATTAACCATTATACCAGCTGGTATATCCCATCTGAATTGTATTTGTCTCACTGTCAGTTCTTCAGCCAAAAAAGCAAAATCCTTTCTTCTTCTAAGTATCTTGGGTGATATTTCTTTTAAGATTATCACGTCTTGTCCTAAAATTTGAAATCTCATTAAGATCTGCTCTTAATGGTCTTTTCTCTTCAATGGTTTCTTTCCCCAGAATGGCTTCATGGAGTCCAGGCATTCACGGTTTTAAGCCTTCTCTTCTCCACCTTGGCTTTCATTATTTTCATGTGGCAGCTCTACACGATGAAGCGGGGAAGCCTGTTTTATGCCACAGGAATTTTCCAGATATTGACTGGTAAGGGTCCCATTTGAACACTGCAAAATCATAGAGCAAGAGAGAGGTGGTAGCATCCACGAGGAAGGAAGATTAGGACTGAGTTGTAGGGGAGTGGAGGTTACCATGTGCAAGACGTAAACAGCAAGGGGTATTGCATAGATCAGTGTTTCTCAACCATAACAACTTGAAGGTGTATGGACTTCAACTCCCAGAATTCCCCAGCATGTTAAGGTCTAACTTAATTGGAATGATTTGCAAAGTGTTTAGCTACTTTGTTGGAACCCTGGATGAATCTGGTTGTGAATCTGGTTATGTTCCATTTTGCCCAAATTATCTTTTTAATATAAAGACCTTGCAAGCCCCAGTTAAGAAGTGGAGCTCAGGAGAAGGAAAACTTGGCTCTTCAAATAGCCTTCAGAGGGGTGACTTCAAGATGGGTGGACTTCAACTCCCAGAATTCCCAAGCCAGAATTGCTATCTGAGGAATTCTGGGAGTTGAAGTCCATCTGTCTTAAAGTCACCACGGTTCAGAAACACTGATCCCAGCTATTCCAATCAGAATTACCAATAAGAAGTTGTAGTTCAACAACATCCCACACACCATAAGTTCCTCACCACTCTGCCCACTTATCTCTAGTGATCCTGGGATGCCTATTGCGGATCTGAATAGGCGGCTGGTGGGATTTTGCACTATATAGGAATTGTCTATAATCTATATGGATGGGAAGGATGTAATTATCCTTTAGGTTGCTTGCTGAAGATGGGGAAGCAAGATGGAGCTGTAACTTGATCCTAATTCACCTTTTTTGGTTCCTTCCCAGCTGTCTCGGTGTTCACAGCTGCCTTGATCTACACTATCCATGTGGACACGTTCCAGCGTGGCCGAATGCCTGGCGGCTCTTACGGTCACTGTTTCGTACTAGCCTGGCTGTCTTTTCCCTTGGCCCTCATCAGTGGGATTGTCTACATCCACCTTCGGAAAAAAGAGTGACTGACAATAGGGAAACCTCCCCATTTATTTTGGAAGGAGACTTGTTCTCCTTTCAATTTAGCTATGCATGCATTCTTTGCAGTTTTTGAAAGCACTCGTGGCACACAATTCTATGCAATGGGTAACTTGATCCGTGGGGGTTCTTGCACTGTAAGTGCCTGATTTTCGTTTGCATACGGGTAGTCCTCGACTTATGACCACAATTGAACCCAACATATCCGCTAAGCAAGACAGCTTTTTGCTACAATTGCTAAGCGAATAACTGCAGTTGTTAAATGAACCATGTGGCCGTTAAAGGAATCCAGCTTCCCCATTGACCTTGTTTGCCGGAAGCCAGATGGGAAAGATACAAATGATGATCACATGACCCTGGGATAGTGCAACTGTCATAAATACATGCTAATTGCGAGGCACCCAAATTTTAATCAGGTGACCATGGGGAGGCTGCAATGGTCATTAAGCGTGAAAAGCCTATTCTCCTAATATCTGGAGAAAGGTTTGCTTCTACTTTTTTGTAATTATGTACATGTAGATTATAGTCCCCTTTTACGTTTGCAAATGAGGGAACAATATATTCCTCCTGTAGTGTTTTTTTTAAATAATAATAATAATAATCTCCCTTTTTGATAACCTGCAGTATGGCAGTCAACCCCTCCAACTTTTTTATAAAATCATTTTTTATTTGAAATACATATTTTAATGGGGAAAACATGGAGATGCATTGGTAGTGTAGATACAAAATATATTTCTTTTTTAAGTTTCTGCAAATGGAAGGCAAACTGAAATACAATGTAAAAGGATTCTCATGTGTGTTTTTTAAACTCATTTTAAAATGGAGGTTAAATAAGAATCTGTTTTATAACGTGTTGATTTTATTGCAGATATTTCTGTCTTTTCACATTTGCCTCTTGGGAGATAAAATACTGTGTGGATAAAATTCCTATTAAATTGCAGTTGGAAAATCACTGAACTTTTTAAAAGTTTGAAGAACAAGCCACAGGAGTCTCTGCTTATTGCTTGTTCAGAAAAGTCTCTAATAATCTTTTAAAAAGTGTCCTCTTATTATTGTATATGTAGGAGCATTTGTGAGGGAGGTCAAAAAAGTCAAGATGGCAGCCATGACTGCAATTGATTCTCTTTTTGTATACAGCACTTATACAAAATTAGTGAGCTTCAATTATGCACTTGCTATTGTGCAGCCATTTCTACTTTAAAAAAAAAAACAAAAAAACCTCCATTCCCACAGATTAGCTTCATCCAATCTTTGGAATGCTTCCCTTTCAGAATATTCTACTTAGGAAAAAGTCAATAGGGAAAATAACTACTTATCCCACAGTAGATTTGTGGGATAAATAAAGGATGTGTTCAACGGGACATTCTTTATTTTGTATCTAAGATCTTTGTTGCTATTTCTTAAAACACCAACTTTCTTTATAGTACAGGTAGCCCTCATTTAGTAACCAAAACTGGGACTGGCAACTCAGTAATTAAGCAAAACAGTCGCTAAATGAAAACATGACTGCTTGTGATCTTACTTCAGCTTCCCTTTGCTTTACAAATCTGTAAAGGTCATAAACATAGAGAATTGACTGCGAAGTTACTTTTTCATCACCATAACAACTGCGAATGGACACTAAATGAGGTGGTCGCTAAACAAGGACTACCTATAACTTTCAGTAACTTTATTCAGTGAGTTACAACCAATTGTAACAATCTGTTCAATGGCTATACATTGGCAGCAGTATTTGTTCCCACTCACATTAAAATCCATCAGGTTTTTGTTTTTTTCTAGCTTTTTCCAAATTTTCTCCCTGTATTCTCAACCTCCTGGCTGAGAATTACAGGGACTGTAGGCTGCATATCCAAAAATCTGCAGTTTAAGGAATGTTCACAAAATTATGAGGAATGTTCACAAAATTATACTTGTGTACCATCTTTCTTCAACAGGTTTGCTCTTTGTTCAACTTGATTGCTAGTGCCAAAATTGATGGTTCGTACAAATGTCCCTTTTTGTCTTCTTCCAATGGCTTTTATATTTTATACTTATTTTAGAAATTAAAAAGCAATGAAAAGAGTTGACAGAGCTGTATCTTCCTTCTTTGGTATGGCAAATGCTTTTTATTCCCAACTCCAGAGCTATGGTGGTGGCGCAGTGGTTAGGATGCGGTATTGCAGGCTGACTCTGCTGACTGCCAGGAGTTCAATCCTGTCTGGCTCAAGGTTGACTCAGCCTTCCATCCTTCCCCAGTCAGTAAAACGAGGACCCAGATTGTTGGGGGCAATAGACTGACTCTGTAATCCTCTTAGAGAGGGCTGTAAAGCACTATGAAGTGGTATATAAGTCTAAGTCCTATTGCTATTGCTATTCTCTTAGTTTTCACAGGGGAAGCTCGTAGTTAGAGAGGAGACCATGAAAGATTATGATTTGGGTAGCTCTTGTTTAGTAAACACGAAGCGACCATCAACTCCGTTGCTAAATGATGTGGTCACTAAGCTGAAGATCACTCAACTGCAACAGGCTTGCTTCTATTTGGTTGTTAAGTGAATCACAATGGGTGTAATGTAATGTGTCACATGACCGCAACTTCTGTGTCCTGTGTCCTCCATTGTCAGAAGTCAGTTGTGAAGCATGTGAATAGCAGTCATGTGACTGCGGGGTGCGGTGGGGGCCACAAATGTGCCCTGGTTGCAAAGTGCCCAAATGGTGATTGTATGATTGGGATGGTGCGATGGTTGTGCAACAGAATTTGTGTCAGCTAGACTTTTTAAAAAATAATTGTAGCTTTGACACTGCATGAGGCAGTTGGTAAGCGAGGATTACATGTAGCAAATTGCAACTTAAATATAATCCACACAGCTAGTATCGAGGTTAGCCACAATCCAAATTGCTGTTGTTCATTCACTACCTTGCAGTCTAACTGGGCAAACTACTTTTTATTTACAGGAGGTCCTCAACTTACAACAGTTCATTTAGAGACCCTTCAAAGTTACAACTCCCTTGAAAAAAAGTGACTTATCACTGTTTTCAACACTTAGCAACAGTTGTAGCATCCTCATGGTCACATGATCAAAATTCAGATGTTTGGCAACTGGCATATATTTATGACGGTTGCGATGTCCCGGGGTTGTGTGATCACTTTTTGTGACCTTCTAACAAGCAGTCAACAGTGAGTCAGATACACCTAACAACCGTATTACTAACAACTGCAGTGATTCACTTAACAGCCGTGACAAAAGGTCATAAAATGGGGCAACATTCACTTAACGACTGTCTCACTTAGCAACAGAAATTTAGGACTCCATTGTAGTCATACGTTGAGGACCACCTGTGTCGTGGCATTTGAACATTCAACTGCTTACAAGCTTCGCCACAACCATATTATTTTCACAAATAAGAACCAAGCGGTGGACCAGCTGGTTCTCGGCTCCCTTGTTTATTTTGCCTGTGTGGGGTATAAAATGGGGATGAGTTGCTTTTGGCCTGCCTGTACAGTGTAACTACTGGACTGTCTGCCTCTCTGACAAAGTAACCTACTCCCATCCATATTAGGCAAAAGTGCAGCTTCAAGTCTATGGCCCACTTCTTACCAGCTCCCTTCTCCTCTCCTTTGCCCTCATGCTTGTCTCCTCCATGGTTTAGGCACGCCAGCGCCAGTGCTTTCGTATGTGAGCGGGTAACTACCCGTTTAGGGCCCTCTTCCTCCCCGTCAGCCTTCTCACTCCCCCCTCTTCTTCTCTCGCCGCTGGCCGTATCCCTCACATCCTCTTTCTCCTTCCCTCTCTTCCCCTCGTCTCCTCTCCCCTTTGTTCCATACTCATCCTCTCTACCAACGCCACCCTCTCTAGATTGTGCCCTCCCCTTTTTTTGTCTGTTATCCCTAGCTCGATTACCAACTCCCAGGGGGTTGCCCCGTGCTTCCCGTTGTCTCCAGCACGGCGGTACTGCGGAATGGAGTGGTCGGGTCGCAGGGTGTCCTAGAGGGCTCCTCCTCTTCTCTCCCGTGCACGAGCGGGTGGTCATCCTCCTCCTGGGGTCTCCCTCCTCTCTATCCGCCTCCGTCCTATCGTCCCCGTATGGTCCAATCTCAGCCAGGTCATCACGATCACTCCTCGCTCCGGTGTCTCCGGCCCCCATCGAAGGTATTCGGGGGTCCCCCTCCTCCATCGTCGTCCCGTCCGTGTACGTCTCCTCTTCCGGGCACCCCCAAATGTTGGGCAGTTGGAGGGGTGGCAACAGCGTTCTTCCCACAGCGTCCCCTATTAATTCCATGGGCGCTCTCGATGTTCCGTTGCAACAATTCCAGCCGGGTGGGGGGTTGCCGCTTGTGCTCCAAGCTCTCAGTGCTAAATGCGCTGGACAGAGATCCACATGTCGGTTTATTGAATCCCTGTCTGAGAGCCAGGCCTCCTTAAGCAAACGTCCCCCTTTCATGCTGTCATTAGCCAGTATACGCACATTGTCGAAGTCGAACCGATGGCCACAATGTGCGTATACTGGCTAATGACAGCACGAAAGGGGGACGTTTGCTTAAGGAGGCCTGGCTCTCAGGGATTCAATAAACCGTCATGTGGATCTCTGTCCAGCGCATTTAGCGCTGAGAGCTTGGAGCACAAGCGGCAACCCCCCACCCGGCTGGAATTGTTGCAACGGAACATATTTGGTGGACATGTAGGGATGTTAAAGCCTTTTGGATTAAGATTTGGTGGAACCTTCAACAGATTTTTAAGAAAAAGATAAAATTTACACCGCAATTATTCTTATTGGGCATTATGGATAATCTGGACTCAAAAGAAATGAACTTGATGTTGTACTGTATAACAGCAGCGAGGACATTGATTGCTCAAAATTGGAAAAAGGAGATATTACCGACTATGGATGATTGGAGACAGAAAGTTTCATATTTTGCAGAAATGGCAAAAATATCCGCATACCTGAAGGATCAATATCAGGAGAAATTTATTTTGGTATGGAGAAGATGGATAGATTATATTCAGAGAAAATATGAAATGAATAATTATCATATAGCTTTTGATTAATTATTGTTACTTATAAATATTTTTATATATAATTTATATATATAGTTTATAGTTAAGTTGATTGTATATTAGAGTTATAGTAAGTTTATACTTGTTTATATTATGAATGGGTTGTTTGGGTTAAACTTGGATTACTATATGTTTATTCCTGTATTCAGCTCTGGGAAGTCGGGGGNCTTGGCAGCAACTCCGTGGCTGCCTGCCAAGACCTTTACTGATAACTCACAGTACAAATACAAATCAAAGTCCAGGATAATTCCGAAGTGCTACAACAGAAGATTCAGTATTGTTCGTCACAAGAGTTTCAAACGGCACACCCCTTGCTTATATAGCCTGTGGGGTGTGGCCCAGTGACTCAGCTGAAATCTCTGGCACAACGTTTTAGCTGCTGCGCACATTTGTCCCTCCGACGCTGGCGTGGATCCAGCCAAGACGTATCCTCCTCAGAGTCCGACACACCTGGCTCCTGGCCAATCCCAGAAGCACCTGGCTCCTGGCCAATCCCAGAAGCACCTGGCTCCTGGCCGATCCCAGAAGCACCTGGCTCCTGGCCAATCTCCTCTCCGTCGGAAGACACCGAAGGCCGCACCAGAGGGGAAGGTCCTGGAGAGGGAGGCCTGGCCATCTCCTCTCCTTCATGTTCAGAGCCTTCCTCCTCCAATGATAGGGACCCACAGGACGGAGCCACAACACCACTGCCCCCTTTAGCTATGTGCAAATTCCCAGACTTCAAATTTGAGAAGCAAATGTGTGTGTTTTAGTGTAAACAATTACTGGACCAAGGGGAATAGGGTTCTGGTCTTCCAGTAACTCAGAACTTATCTATTGCATTTTTCCCCTCCATACACAGCCTGAACGTGCTATTTTGTTCAGGACCACACAGGATGGAAAGTATCCTGTGCCACCTATGTAAAACTGGCAGGAAAAAAAAATAAAGCAAGGAAACCTAGCATGCGATATGGCTTTCAAGCTTGCCATTAAGTGTATACTGTGCAATTCAAAGTGCTATAGAAGGGGTTTAATACATTTTTCAGAAATGCCCCCAGCAGGCTGGCACATGATATTAAAAATCCATCTCGCCCTAAATGCAAAAGAGATTCACTGCTTTGCACAGTGCTCATTTCAAATGTAAACTGCTTCCACTCATTCCTTGGGGAAAGAAAAATAAACAGCTCAAAGGAAGGGGAAAAAAAAGCAGCGTGTCTAATAAAAAGTGCTGATATTTTAAAAGCAAGAAAGTTCCTCTCTGCAAAGAAGAGAATCTGAGGTGCATTATGGCTTTGTATAATGATGTCTAATGTTGTACTCCAAATAGTATTTTCATAGTATGCAAAGGTTAACATTACAGCACATTGCCAACAGGATATCTGGAAGAAGAACTGGTGTTAAAGGAAGCACATCTCAGGAGCTGAAATCCAATAGCTTCTAAGAATCCATGTGGTACAAGTAACTACACCACAGGGCACTGTTCTCTTAATGCTTTGGAAAAATAAGGTTCACATCCTCTCGCCTTCAAAACCTGGCATGCTCAATACCACAGGGACAAGGCTGATTTAGAGGCCCAAACACCAATTAAAACAATCCTAGGAAGCTCTTATCCAATGACAGGATGGGCTGCTCCCCTTACTTCCAATTCCTTGAGATGCTTCCAGGCACGTTCGGCACAGAAGTTAATTTCCAGCCCAGAGCGCAGGCGCAACCAAGCCTCAACCTGTTTCCTCAGATGTTCAACAGGATTGGAGTCTGCAAACGCAAAGAGAGGAGCCAGAGACCTCACGGGAGCCGAAACCGATTCTCAGAGAAGGGCCTTCCCTTTGCTTTCTGGCATCCCTATCCCAGCCCATACCTGTCTCACACCTGCCTCCTTTGACAACCGCTGCTGTGGTTGCTGGTGGCACTGCAGGAGGAAACTGTGTGCCAAGATGACTTCCTTGGAGTGCTCCTCCTGGGCCCGCAGGGTGAGGGCATCCAAAAGCTCTGAGTTATTGGAGGTGCTATGGTAGTACAGCATATGCACCAGTTCGAGAGAGTGGATGTTCCTCCACTGGCCAAAGACCTAAGAAAACAATGCAGAATACAGGTAGTCCTCGACCTACAACAGTTCTGTTGTAACAGTGACTGTTCAAAGTTGCAACAGCACTGAAAAAAGTGAGCTGTGACCCTTTTTGGCACTTATGACTGTTACAGCATGTTCTGAATCGTATAGATCTATGCAACTCTAACTAGAGAGCATGTATCAGTATGTTAGAATACCTGTGTTAGAATACCTGGCAGTTATTGGGTTAAATGCTGGTTTTGTTAATGGGTCAGTGGGAGGAGTTTCTAAAGGGCATTGGGAGACTTCCTGGACACAAGCCACATGGGAATGCCTTTGTTCATCCAGCTCATGGCTTCCAGCCACACGGCTTGGAGATCTCATGCTTATGCCAACATGTGATGCTTAGGCAGAAGAAGAGGGGAAAAATCATTATCAATTTACCTATGGAAATGAACAGAGAGATGTAATATACAGAAGCACATCGTAAAAGCAAGTATTTCTCTGAATAAACATTTATCTGTTTTATAATTATTTCTATTGAGTTGTCTGTCTGCCTTAGATTGGACAGAGAAGCAAGTTGTCCTGTCTGGGCAGAACAGTAAATTGATAGGATTAATTTTCCTCTGATCTGCAACAGTTTAAAGAAGTAAAGTAAAGATTCTCTTGCATGTGAAAGAATGCTCAGAGTTCATATTAGCTTTGTAAAGGCA